AACAATCACAATATTATTAGCAACTTAAGAGAGAATGCCTGATTATCAAGTAGTTGCACTGCACAACCAGGCCTGTTTGAGGCAAAAAAAGGAAATTTATACTAAAGCTAGTTTCAATTATGAGTTTTATTTAAAAATGTTAAATTCTTATTTAAGAAAATCAAAACGTCAAATCATCTTCACTTCACATGTGGAATGAAGAACAACAATAATGCAAAATATGAACAAAAACTTACCTTGATATCCATATACTTGAACCTCACAAAATGACAACATTCCAACAATCCCTTCTATTCCAATAATAACGAAACGAGACGAATATAATGGCACATCACATTTGAAAATCATCGTTTCGCCAGCATTGAAGATGGCAGTGATCTTTGGCCCACATACTTGGTTCCACTTTTTATTTCCAATATAATGGCCAGCTCGAATTTGAACATTATTAAACTTTTCCCAACAGCAATCAGCGCGATTTGTTACAACAACTTTAGACACCATAATATCAGTTTGCATGTCTACGTACCACCTAAAGGAATCGTAATCATAAGAAGTATGTATTTGACAAGTGAAATTATCTGTGCAATGTAATCAATACAACTATTTTGCTGTTTTTAAAAACTGCGAGTGATTTATCTCAGCATTACACAAATCAGTATGCAAACATGAGCAGACGGCTCAAATTTTATTAGTTTAAGCATGCAACAAGGGCTTTTACCACGGATCGTGCTCTCTTCTTGTCTGCATACACGATTTCTTTATGAAATACGGGTTTTTATAGCCATCAACAGCCCTAGAAGAAACACCACCTCCTTCTGTACTTGATTGACGTGTGGGTCTACCAAACGCATAATTTACCCTGAAAGGAAACCGTACAATCCTGATCTTCTCAGTGATTTCTTTCAATATTTTGTTATAAAGATCATTTAGCTATAGACCTGGTCGTCATTTTATGAGTAAAAACTATGTTAAAATTAGATATCGAATAGATTGAAGTATTTATCATACCTTCATCACCAAAGATATTTCTTGCAAAGAATAGTAAATAGAAAATAACGTTCACAGTAATGCATCTATTAGCTTTCATATTTTAATTCATTTTCATTGTTTGAAATTTTATTTTGAAAAATAATTTATTTTTCTTGTAAAAATTAGCATGAGATCTTTGAGCACGAAAATCATGCGCATGACGTAACAATAGTTATTAGCAATGATTAATTACAAATTATTAGACAAAAATTGTACGCAACCATTGAACTTAATTGTAATACATCAAGAGCAATTAATGACAGTAACGTGGCAAAATAATATGTTGGTTTTTGAGAGCCATAATTTTAAACAGTCGCTCATTTACTATATTTCGTAAGGGACGATTTTCACAAAAATAACACCTACAATTATTAGCTTTGGTCGTTTTAAAACGTATATTAAGAGTTAATTAAATACGAACTGAGCTCATTTTCGAGGATTAAAAAGGCAATTAAATTTAAAAGAAATTCAAGTTTGAATTGGTAATTTGGACAATAAGTCCGATCATCGATTCCATAGCAATAGCCAATTGAGGCGTAAAATGTGCTGTGCCTAACACGGTTTTTATATGGACATGAAAACATATCACAAAGCCAAACAAACCAAAAAGCCTCGCTATCACCATTTTCTAATTTTGCATGCACGTTATCAAGAAATTCCCTAATGGCGCTCCCTGTATTAAGTGCTAGTTGCTCAACATTGGGACAAGATGCTTCACATTCTGCATTCTTGTATATGGCCGGAGCATGAGAAAACTCGTCGTTAATTTTAGTAATTTTTTCTCTTAAGTGAGGCGCTTTGATGCTTTTTCGAAGCATTTTTATGAGAATTATTTCGCTAGTATAAAATGCATAGAATTGAGAAAGTAAGTGCTCTCAGGGACGCCGGAACGGCAAAAGGGGCAAGCATTTGTGGAAGGGCACATTAGTGAAATATACTAAAAATAATCTTATATTGATAAACAGCAAAGGGATGTGCTACATGCAATACACAATACACTGTACAGAAGCACATGTCCGCAGTGTTGGTCGATAAATATTAACGATAATATAACTATCAAACGATGTAACGTCACTAATTCACAATTTGTCATGTATTGTATTTTCCAAAATATTTAATTCTTCTTTCATTTCTCTGTGAAAACTCTTTGGCAATTACGTCTATTTCCACCATATCCATGTGTTGCTTCTGAATGTTGGAGAACATAATATCATTCAGATGATTTCCTTCAGTGTTTGACCGCAGCCATGTTTTGAGACGACACATTACGCTGAATGTGCGTTCGCACGAGGCAGATGAGAGTGGCGCTGTGTAGTATAGTATAATTAGTTTATGGATCTCTGAGCACCTTTTCTTTGCTGACGGCATGGCATTGAGTATCTCTGCTATTGTTGAAATACGCGGGACTTCTGTTATTTTTTTCTTCTGATCCGCGTTGTAAAGCCCAAGAATGGTGGGAAGATCATCAAGCTGCTTTCTTAGAGCATCTTTATCAATCAAAGAATTGCTTAATCCATCTAAAGATACTCCTCTTTCTTTCATAGAGTTAAGTAACAGTTTCTCGATACATTTGATCTGGAAAAGATCGTCTTGTTCAAATCGCGATCCTAGACTTGAGATGATTGCATCAATGGCTTGGTAGTACGAACTTCGCATTGGTGTTATATTCGCACTGTTGTAAACTGAGGCATCTGTGACGTGAAGGCTTTCTGTTATTAACATTTCTTCATTATTCATCCATCTTGGAACTTTTCTTAGTCTGGTGCCAGTGCCAAAATTTTCACTAAATTCCAGTGGGAACGACATCATAACACGAAAAACTTTCTTAGCGTCATCAAGTGTACGCTCAAACTCTTCTTCGCTTCTCATCTCATGAAGACGTTGCAGGACATGTCTTATTGAAAATAGAGCGTACTCAGCTGAAATATCAACCGCTTGGAGCTCTTTAGAAAGCTTCTCGAGTAAAGCCAATAGCTTTCTTGTCGCGTTTAAATTAAAGATGACGATTAAGGAAGACAGTTGTCGCCTTAATATTCCTCTAATCTTTGCTTTTGTGTCTGCCGAAATGCTAGGATCTTCCTGAAATTTTTCAAGGGTTGCATGTAGTCCAGCCGATTTCTCGAAGATGACGTCAGCAGCCTTTACTCTTGTTGTCCATCTCGTTGTAGAAAGACTTTGGAGTAGTAGAACTTTGTAATCGTTTGTTCCTGTTTCGTTTCTAAAATCTGCCTGTATTTCTTCGAACAATAAAATACGTTTTGGATGGGCACCTACGATTGCATACAGGGATTCGCATAAAACCAGTGATGTAGACAATAAATTAGATTGCTTAGCTGCATCCTGTATAATAAGTTCATTGCAGTGACTGAAACAATGAACATAAATTGCGTTTGGTGCAATATCTTCCTTGAGCTTTCTTGCGAGGGATTTCATTGCTGAAGCCCCGTCAAAGCCCATAGCTGCCATTTTGTGACCTTCCATGCCACATCTGATAAGGATATCTTTGGTGTAGTGCAGAAATGCATCAGATGAAAGCCCTTGCGAACATTCATAAATTCCAACAAAATCTTCCGATACTTCGTAATTATCATCACAGGTCCTTACGGAGAAAGACAACTGTTCTTTCTTAGATACGTCTGATGATTCGTCAGCTAGAATTGAAAATGATTCTCTCACTAGAATTTTATCAATCAAATGTCTTCGAGCATTTAATACAATCATCTGTTTCTGCTCGTCCAGGATGTCGTGTGCAGTTACGTATCGGTTCTCGTCAAGTAAAAGTTTTAGTGCCTTGTCGTTAATAGCTTTATCAAGATTGAACTGATGAATATTAGATTCAAAATCCGTTCTACCTCTAATCGCTATACCTTGGCGCGTAAGAGGGTTTTTAATGTTTGAAGATGTGAAATTAACCCTTTCCGTCTTAACTGCTGCGTTTCAAGAGCAAGCGAACTGCAGGCTATGCTAATAGACAATTGCCCTTTGTCTGATGTGGCACAAGCTTATTTATGAGCGTAACTGTTTTCATGTTCGTTGAATTTCACAGCCTTTTTCCAGTTATCAAATCCAACTTCATAACTGCCAAACACTCCCTTTATCTTAGAGTGAGTACAACAAATTTCGCAAAAAGCCTTATTTTTTTCTCGATTGTACACTAGCCACTCATAATTTCGTAACCACTGACCTTGGAAATATCGACCATGCTTCACACTACTTTCCTTGTCTTCACTTGTAAAGTCTTTCTCATGTTTTACCCATGTCGTTTTCATGCATATCTTTTCTGTTTCACCAATCAGACTTTTCGGTTTGTACCATTTTTGTGTTTCACAGTCTGAGGCTTTTTCTACGGTGGCCCGTATCTGCAATTCACAAATTAATTTGTCAATGCACAAACATTCCCTTAAATTCAAAACAATATATTTGATACAAAAATAATGTGCTGAATGCAAAATGATTTTGTTTGCGATGCAAAACACGAACAATGCAAAACAAATTTGATCGCAATGCAAAACAAATTTGATCGCAATGCAAAAACAAATTTGATCGCAATGCAAAAACAAAGTTACCGCAACCCAGAATTTTGCACTGTAGTGTGGGCGGCAATATGTCGAATATTTAATAAAGTGGGACAGTGTATATTAGATTTCTTTCGAAAATATCTGCGTTGGTTTGTAATGTTTTGCTGCTTTTGTGGACATGGAATGGAGACGTCGTTTTCTTTTGCCCGAATTGCGGAAAGAAAAAATCCAATGGGACCTCTGAGCCTTCAAGCAGCTCTGTTAAATCACCTTGTGTGACTCACTCGACTGGGAACTCCCCCACTTCGTCGAACACGTCTTTATCTTGTACAAGTTTGTCTACTTTCATGAAGAACAAGGAGGCTGAACGACGGTCGCATTTTGAGCCCAAGAGGAAAAAGTCACGCTCTGCAACATCACGAAAAATACTGATGTTTTATAACAGTAGGTTTAATGGAATACGACCACGATGATTCATATACGCCAAGACGGGTTTTTGGTAAAACATTTCCTGTGAAGGTGACACCGGACATGGTGTATGATCAAGTTCTTAAAAGATCTTTGACCAAATGGGCTAACTATGATAGAACATTTTGCCCTGATAGAGGTTACGTACTTGTTTACCCAGATGGTCAATTGGCACGAACAATTCCTGGTGGGGACGAAGAATTCGTGATGGGCAAGTACAAAGAAGAACTTGGGAAAGCGTACTCAAGAATAAGTTTGTACCTTTGCCCTGTAGCACCAAAACAGAAAGTGAGAGCGAATGATGTACTCATCACTGATCTACTTACCGAAAACGACGATTTGGACCTCAATAGTGAATTACAAGAAGAAGTGCCAGAAAATTGTAATGGAAATTTGGCAGTATCTCCAGAATCCAGTGGAAATGGGTCTGGGAAGCTGCTGCAACATCCTATGCTTTGACGGACTTTTTGTAAGTGTAACATGTAATATGACTAAGTTTTTACTACTTTATTGTGTATAAAGCAATCACTGTTGGTTGTATTAAATCTATGAAATCTTTTGTTATTAGACCAGTTGGAGTTGATGAGAATGCTGCTGTAAAACAGGCCATACGTAATAGCTTGTCTATGCATGTCGATGTGGAAGATGCAGTTGGTGATGCTATCACTGACCCTGAAATTCTCACAAGTGATGGTTTCTTGAATGCAGTTAAAGAGCATGCAGCAAACAAAATTCAAGGAGACCCTCGAAACATTGTTGTTAGCCGATTAAGCATATGGCGAACTGCGCTACCATATTTTAGAAGGAAAGGCTTCCTTAGTTCTGCTGGCATTTTGAAAGTATCATTTGCTACATTTGAAGAGGAGGAAGATGCCGTAGATCAAGGTGGCCCAAGAAGATAATTCTTCCATCTACTTCTTGGAGCTATTGCACGAGACAGTGGAATAATGTGTAGTAAGTTATGAATTAAAGTTATTGACTTAGAAATGTTGTGTACTAAATTTCAAGTTTTGATTTCATTTCAGTGTGTAGCCTGGTTGTAGAGTGTGCCACTTTATTTTTATTGGCTAAATATAAATTTTCTGTAGGCATGCCAACAGGTTGTGTAATTCGCTGCAATGTTGGAGCCTTGAATCAAGGAACATTTTTGGCTGTTGGACACATGTTGGCTACACTTGTTGTGCAAGGTGGAGAATTGCCACGAATATTTAGCAAATCTGTTTGCCAATATATTGAGGCAGGGTTTGGCAGCTGTACACCAGATATAGACGAGCTACCTGACAAGAACATTAGAGATTCTCTTTTAAAGGTATCAAATGTTCGACATCACATGGCAGAAACCAATTTCCCAATTTTTATTGACACTTAAATTCTTTGAAACTCAATTTTGGCAACAATTGTTTTCATTATTACTATAGCTGAAAGCTGCAAAGGATCAAGGGGGTGTTGATTCTTTTTTGGCTGAGAGTGAGTGGAGATATGACATTGATGGATTGTCCCAAACCCTCCTAATTAAAGATAAGCTGATGTTCATTGAGGAGGTCACCAAATACTTCATCATCATAAAATGCAAACCAATGCTTGATCAGCTCATTGAAGGCCTCAATTATTATGATGTATGTGGTGTCGTATATTTAATTCAAAGTTTAGTTTAATTTTATTTTATTTGCCTGCCTCCATAATAGTGTTATAGTAGTAGCACTTTGGGGTATTATGTAAAACAAAGCAAAACAGAGAAACTAATGCTAGTCATGTATTATTGGTTAATACATTGAATAATATACACAGCAGATATTAGCACTGAATATTGCAATAGTATTAATTATTGATTTCTATATACTATAAGTAAAATGCCTTTCCTATTCAAAGGTTTTGCAACTGCTCCGTGCTAATAAAGGAATGGCAAACTATTTATTCCAGTACAATCCAGAGGAAAAGATGGATGGCAGCAAGCTGATAAAAATCATGAAACCTAATTTTTCTCCAATTGGTCACCATCGTAGAGAACCACAAGAAATAATAATGGCTAAATTTATCGCCTTCATCAAGTCCATGGAAGGTGAGTGACAATGTGATCTGTCCCAGATCGAAGCATCTGCTTTTGCAATGGCAGATTTAATAAGTGTCTTTTTCTGTATATTTCTGTGTCATATGATATGTACTACATATTACTATTTAATAGATGGAAGTTTTCTGGGAAACTTACATGATGAAGGAATCGAGTTGACAGAAGAAGAGGAGCGCTTTGCTTCTGAAGCAACTCCTAAGCATATTCTTCTATTTGCAACTGGTGCAACCAACGTACCTACTATTGGCTTTGTACCTAAACCAACAATCACATTTGTTCATGATGATGGCAAGATGATACCATCAGCTCAGACCTGTTCCAACTCATTGCATTTGTATGTGAACAAGAAGACACTAGATTGTAGCCTGGCCCATTGCTTGCTGACAGCTTTAATGAATGGAGGAATATTTAGTAAATTTTGAGGAAGAATAACAATGTGTCCCTTGTTTTGGGATTTAGTTAAACTTTTGCAAAGTTATGTTACAGACATTATTTACAAATGGTGTGCCAAAAAAAAAAAAAAAAAAAAATTTTTTTTTTCAAAAATCAAATTCAGCTTTGGGCAATTCCACGTAAGATATGGTACATTTCCAATGCTCTTCTCCAATGTGTTGGTTGAGACATACCAAGTTCATTTCCAATGGTGCAATAATATTCTTGAATAACATTTTCTTCCATGTACTCATGACAATATTGAGACATATCTTGAAATTGAGCATCAGTCACTTGCTTTGCATAATTTTGTGCACCATTGCATTCAGGAGAAAGTAAAGTTCATCTGGTCTTCCAGCAACTGTGTCAAACCTTGACTTACGGATGTAGTGGGAGTTCCAATTACGCTTGACGCTTGTTAGATCTTCTTGTAATAAATTGGCAAAGCAATACCACAAACATTCCTTGTCTAGATCACTTGATGTATTTAAATGCCCTGTCTCAATCATATCTTTAAAACAATTCATCCACCAGTTCGAGCGATTTTTTCGTAGAAATGCCCACCAAGATTCAATCCGCTGGTTTGACTGAGAGGAACCATACCGATGAGCATTGATACCTGCCATCTCATCATCCCCACTAGTTCTAAAATAAGCTTGCATTGCTGCCATTATGACATTTTCAGTCCCATTGTCTGTTCTCAACAATGTGGGGCATCCACCATACTTCTTAACAGCATCCAGGAAGTGTTGACTTGTAACAGCAGGATTGTTATTTGTTTTGCATACTTTAAGCCATAAAACTTTTCGGCTATATCCATCTATGCATCCATGCACTGGGAAGCCATATGGCTTAAGTTTGTCATAGCCATCAACATGCCAAGCATAATTGGGACCTGGGTTGTGGAAAGTTCTTCGCCTAAGGGTTTTGCCCTGCCTTTCCCTCACGCCATCAGGATCCAACTCATTAACAAAAACCCTGATCGTTTCCCTGGGCACTTGGTAACCTTCCCGTTGTAAGGTATGCCACACAGAGCGATAACCAGCTGAAGAACCTGGTCCATCAAGCTCGTGCTGTATTCGTTGTCGAATTAGACTTAAATCATACTCCTTGTTCCTTCGACGAAGACCAAGAGATCTTAGCTTGGTATTAAGTGTTCGTAAGGAGATGTTAATGCCGTGAAACTTGCCAAGGAATTGCATAATCTTCTCGTATGCAAAGCCTTCTCTGAAATAATGCGCGATTAGTTCGTCACACGTATCGTCTCCTCCAGGGATTTGTTCCTCCGCGTTTCGAAAGCCTTGTAAGTGATTTCCGCAAAATGGGCAATATTGGAATGTGACCTGAATATTTTGACCGCAAAATGGACAATACATTCCTGGTGAAATTCAGCAAAACATTACAAACCAACGCAGATATTTTCGAAAGAAATCTAATATACACTGTCCCACTCTATTAAATATTCGACATATTGCCGCCCACAGTAAAGTGCAAAATTCTGGTTGCGGTAACTTTGTTTTTGCATTGCGATCAAATTTGTTTTTGCATTGCGATCAAATTTGTTTTGCATTGCGATCAAATTTGTTTTGCATTGTTCGTGTTTTGCATCGCAAACAAAATCATTTTGCATTCAGCACATTATTTTTGTATCAAATATATTGTTTTTGAATTTAAGGGAATGTTTGTGCATTGACAAATTAATTTGTGAATTGCAGATACGGGCCACCGTATTTTTCAGTATTGACAGTTATTACAGTGTCAATTCCGCTTGTTGAAGCAGAATCAAAATCATGGCCTGTGTTTCCTTTTGCAAACAGCGATGTTATTTTAGATTGACCTGGTTTAGCCGCTGCTTTCGCTAATGCTTTTGCTGAATCTTTTTTACATCTTTCTGCTCTTGGCATTGCAGAAAAAGCGATAAGATGCAATAAATATCCCTTTGAAAATCATGAGTGTTTAGGTGACTGAGCCATTTATGCCAGCAGATGTTTACGCTATCTATTAGAGTTAATTATTTACATGTTATTTATACTATCGGTAATTACGTAAGTCGAGCTTTCCTTTACGTCATTAGCAGTACTCACTCTTTCATTGCGTTTCAAGTTCTCACGCGTTGCAACCAAAAAGAAGAACTAAACAAACAAAGAACTTACAAAACGTACTTAAAACAAAGAAATGTTAAAGGAAAACTAACATAGTTACGACAATTTTATTGCTAAGCTAAAAAGAATGCAATATACCACATTGGTTAAGTAGTCTTTATCTTGGATTAAAAACAATAAATTATCAACCTGTAGGGCACTTTTGCCCCCCCTGCCCACCTCCAGAAAAGGCAAGGGGGGCCGTTGCCCCCCTTGCCCCCCCAGTTCCGGCGTCCCTGCACAAGCACTTTCAACAGTTAATCAGTTCTGTGCTAACCCTAGCCAAAACCATTGGAATGCTGCCAAACGTATTTTACGTTACATTAAAGGTACGATTAACTACGGCATTTGCTTTGATGGACATAAGGAATCTGAAGTCAAATTAAGTGGATTTGTTGATGCTGTTGGGGATGTGATCCAAATAATCGAAAATCACATTCAGGATACCTATTTATGATTTGTGGTGGATTGGTAAGTTGGGAAAGCAAAAAGCAAAGTATTGTAGCTCTCTCATCTACTGAAGCTAAGTATGTTGCAGCATCACAAGCATGTCAAGAAGCAATATGGTTAAGAGGATTACTACATGATTTAAACTTCACTCAAAAGGAACCAACTATCATAAAAGAAGATAATCAAGGAGCAATAAGTTTGTCGAAAAATGAGAAATACCATCCAGAACGAAACACATTGACATAAAATATTATTTCATTCGCGACAAAGTATTGAAGAAAGAAATTACACTTGAGTATTATACGTCACAACAAATGGTTGCTGATATGTTAACGAAACCATTAGGAAAAACTGTATTTCAACGAAAGAGATCTAATATGGGAGTAACAAACATTTAAAGGAATAGAGATTAGTTTATATTTTTCGAAAGGGAGTGTTAAGATATGAACATCACGCGAAAAACGTAAACAACATACCATTGCATGCATAATTAAGTAACTATGACACATGTCAGATCAAGTGACATTGTGAACTTGTTATTGTAATATCGTTGTTAGCTTATACGTAAGTTGTTATTTTGTTCAACAATAAAAATCATAATATTTCACATGCTATCCGAACGTTATTGCCGAATCTCGAATAATTTAACAAACATAAACTTAACATTCATTCGTAGATTGTTTATTGCCGCTCTTCATTTCAATGAGAATGGAAATAAAGCTCAGAAAACGAAGAATGGTGGGCAAACAGAAGAGGCATTGATTGGAGAGTGGCTTATTCAAAGTCAAAAGAAGGACAAATGGTCATCAAATCAGTGAAAGTTGACAGCACTTATGGTTAGCACAGAAAAATAAACTTATCTTTTTCTCTATGCAATGCAAAGCCAACATAAATAATGATTTGCTTTTCAGGATATAATAAGGACTTGATGAAAGAAGTTTTGTACTGCAGACGCAAAGGCTCAAACATGTAAGGTTGTATCTCATTTTTATTTATGACAATATTACAATCGGCTTCTTCAGAAGAAGAACCATTCATTTTTGTTAAATAAACAGTAATAGCAAACTACCGAAAGCCGTGAAGCACTGCGTGCAAGTCGTAAAGCGATTTAAGAACGATGCTTGTTTATGTCAACTAATACGTCACTCTTTCCTAGTTCCCACACTTAAACAATCTCACGGCGTTTTAGCAATGGTCATCGAATATCGTGTTTTTACCGATTATTACCCTAAATATCTTTTGAAATATTTTGCGGACGACTTTGAAACTTGGTACGCCTTATTTTCACGCTATAGGCATTACAATAAAATGAAGTTGTCTTCTACCTTGCATGTGTCCTTTAACATTTTTTTGCTTATGTAAGTTCTTTGTTACTTTAATTATTTCTTCTCTTGGTGCAACGAGCGAAAACTTGAAACGCGATGAAAGAATGATCGATTACTGATAATGACGTAAAAGGAGAGATCCACTCATGTTTCACAATAATTCAAAAAAAAACCAATTTCAACACATGAAGGAAATATTAAAGTGACGTAATGTATTTTTTGCTATAAAATGAATGAAATGTAAAAATGTTGAATATTTGTAAACCACAGAGCAGTTGGTTCCTTGACACTAGGTGAAGACAGAGCAAAACTATAACGGCACTCAGCTGTTGGATGTGGGATTATTCATATATTCAGATATATTAATTAGATTCATTTCCGTAAAGGTATCGTTTACATGCATTATTGGATTTGTTTGGATTTGAAAAATTTTATATCATTCATATTTTTGCAGTCTACCTACAATGATGGCTTTACTAACGGCGCTAAATATTTGGTTCGTGGAAATACTTTTGTTAATTTTATGGCTTCTTCTGGCATTGAAGTTCTTGAGATTGCTTACTGCAGGAAAGAAGGTAAAAGACAAAAATTGTAGACGGTTGGATTTCTTAGAGCAATTTGTTGAAATCTTGGCGCATTCACTTGATGGCCATAGCAATATGTCATGTTTTGTATCACTAACATCAAAAGAAAGCTTATCCTTTCAACATGTTCACGATGCTTTAGTATTGTTAGTAAAACGTCAACCAATGTTACGAGCAGTCGTATCGACGAAAGCCGATGGAGAAAAATATTTTGAGATTAAAAGCCCAGAAGAGACTATTCCACTATTTGACATCACCACGTCGGATACTAAGATTTCTGATTGAAAGATATAATGTTCGAGCACACTTCAACTATACATAAAGGCCTTTTCCATGGAAAGCTGTTATACTTAAGGAAGAATTTGATTCAATAACAAAGAGTATTCTAATATGATAATGTTTACCGTGAAGCATTCGTGTTTTGATGGTGTTTCTTCCGTTAAATTTGTAAAACAGTTCCTGAATAACATGAACGAGATAGCAAGTGGTGTAAGCAATGTCGACAAGGATATAACAAGTCTCGAACTCTTACCTAGCGCACGACTTGGTAATACAAAAAGAATCGGTCATTCCTTGTTTCGGTTCGTTGTTTCATATTGTGGACTTCGTCCGATACTGGAATTTCTTTTGGCAAAACTGATTGCTTATGTTGTTAAAAAGAAACCAATCAATCCTTATTACCAAAAGTACCCACCTCTACCACCTGATGACATCCCTGTAGAAAAACTTCAACGGACAAATTTGAGAATATTTACTAAGAAAGAAACCAAGTCAATTATTGACTCCTGCAAAGCCAACGGTTGTACAGTAACTGGGGCAATAACGGCTGCTGCACATTTGGCATTCTACGAATTATTAAATGAAAAGAATAAGGAGAAAACAAGCTTAGAGACATTAATTCCTTTCAATAATCGTTTGCTTGGTAACCCAAAAGCCCCAGAAGACTACCTCTGCTACTTTGTTTATTTTGCAGCTTATTACTTGAAGTATAGTAAAACTGATCCTGATGACTTTTGGATGATGGCTAAAGAAAGTACAGCCCAAATAAAACAGGTTGTGAAAAATGAATCATTTGTCAAGGAAATGTCGTTATTAGGTGTTCTTAATCCAAACTTGCTTATAAATATCTATTACGAGAGAAATGCTTACTTAAAAGCCATAAGCAATGTTATATCCAGTTATGGCGTCTTCAATTTTTCACATAATCACGACATTCCAATGACGTACACCTTAAATGATTGCTTTGTACTTCCCATTGTCCATCGTATCAATTCTGTGTTTACCCATTTTGTGTATACAATTAATGGAAAATTGACATGGTTGGTAATAACGGATAAAACCATTCCAGATGCGCATGCTCAACAATTCAGTGAATCCTGCTTTAATAGAGTGCTCGCCAAGAGTTGTGGTACAAAGAAAGAATAAATTCGTGTGATAACATAAAAGTGCATGACGTATCGTAATCATTTGATTGTAAAATGTAAAACTGTTAATTGTTGACAGATTTTTACCAGATGCTGTGTCCTTTTGCATGGGTTTCCAAATGACTCGGATTACAATACTGTTTACTTTTAAATTATGAATTATGGCCTTCTTATGCGTTGTTACTGGTTATATATTTTTGGCCATTTACTAGCATAAAAAAATGCGAAGTGATTTAGGTGTTCAACATTGTGGATTTATTCTGACATGAGGGAAATATGAGGTCTTAATTGTATTCTTTTCTTTTGAAGAATACGTTGCATTATAGTATATAGCCAAACCAAACTCCACTTTCATCGCTCAATTACATGAGCCAGGTACCCGGGATTCCGGTATCCGGATGTATTACTTTTAATTTTGGAGGGTGGAATCATTGCATTCACATCAAAATAATGCAATATAGCCACAAAGGATAATTTGCATATTTTAATGCATGCATGCAATGCAAGTATAAATTAGTTTATTTGTATATTATTTCCGGTTTGTATCAAGTAGATTTGGGACTTTCGATCATTCATGTTTTTGTTTTGGTACTAGGAGTATCATAATTTTGATACGAAATACAGACATTTTTTGCAAACTTCTCTTAGCTCAGTACAGTAGCAGCAAACACCTATTATAAAATATTTCTACTAAATATTTTCAGTGTACATGCTTGTGTATTACCAAGGGTGTAACAACCAAGTACTGTCGAGGGAGGGGGGGGGGTGTAACTTGACTATCATCTTAGCGAAAAGGAATTTTAAGTTTTATGTATAGTTATAGTCATGTTGGTTTAAACTGTAGTTTTACAAGTTGGCCAAATAAGTTCAAATTAATCTCATTTAATTCTTTTCAAACACCATTGATCACGAGTTTTCATAGATAGTGAAAAATGGTTTGTTGCAATCTGCATTTAAAATTTTTACACAAGCTCTCTTTTAAATCATGGAAACAAAAAGTTTTCATTACCAATGCATAAAAAAGTTTTCATTACCAATGAGTCAGCCAAACGCAAGCTTTTTTTATCGATAGTTTCCCTATGGCGTAAAGAGCGTGGTATGGTTTGAAGAGATTGCTTATCCAAGGGTATATTGATCATACCCATGATTAAGATCTCGTTTACTAAAAATACAGCGTGCGTAACTTTTTAACTCTTCGGTGGAATCTTCTGTTGTAGGGGCTTGAAGCTGTCTACTGTACTGCTGCGCATCGTAGGCTTAATTACAAATCTTTTCCTTCGGGTTTTTCAGTCTGGGTTCAACTACCAATGATGTGAGCACCATGCAGCGCTGTTTTAAGCGTTGTTGCAATGGTTCCTTTAAATAGTAAGGAAGTCCTCAAGATTTGAAGCTATTTTTTCATTTCCTCTTTTATTGGGACAAATATCTGTATTTTTTGTCATTCATTGCTTTCCAATGCCACTAAATCGCTGTTGATATACGTATGTATAATATTTTCAAGATCAATTAGAGTTACATCGCTTAGCATAGAGTCGAAACAACGATGTCGATTGAGCGTCGGTATTTCGACGTGGAAAGAACGTGGAAATTACGTCTCGACGTAATTTCGACTCGATTTTGAACTTGCCGAATATAAAATATAGAAAAATGGGCAAAGAACAATAAAATGTTATTAAATCTTTCCAAAATGTGGGAAATGGCAATGAAGCGACAATCACCAGAACCACTTTTAAGCCTTATTGGTTTGATTAAACAAAAGAAAATATCTAAAACTACTTAGCATAATATTTCAAGATGATCCTAATAGTTGGGATCTTCAAACTGATACCATGCTCTCTAAAGGTGTAAGTCGCATGCACATTGTTCGTGTTTATAGGTCGTATGGCTATTGCAGGAATTATTTTCACAAATTATTTGAAACATTGATTTTATCACTATTTTATTACTCTATCGAGGTCTGGGGATCCGCTTTACTTATGAGTTGAAAGTATTATTAGGTTTTTTAGACGTGCTTACCGATATGGATGTGTTTCAAAATGTACAATATTTGAAAACTTATAAAAGAGCGAGATAAATCCTTGTTGGAAAGAACAGTCTATGATCCCAAAGATATTTTGTAACTAATCTCTAAGGTAAATTTGCCTTAAAAATGAAACTGCAAAGTATTTATTGCATCGAAACGATAAAGATGAATTCGAAGACCTACCTATCTCCTATTACCTCTAATGTAAGAGATTTCAGCACAATCCAAAAGTATCTAAAAAACATTCAAAAGCAGGCTTATGAAGCAAACATGCTGTATGTCAACTTTTTTTAGATGTGAAAGCTGCAATTAACGCGTTTAAATTTTTCTGGAAAATTCCAAGAAAATTTCAGAAGGTTGTTATCTACCTGGGCGACATTCATTTTCTTAAAGAAAGTTTTGAAATGTTCAATTTTAAATTTACCAATCTATTGCAAAATATTTTCCTTTAACAAAAAAATAGTGCACTAACAGAGCTAACGAAGTAGAACAAAGTTTGCTCAGATCATTTTGCTGATAGCATGAAGAGCATATCAGGAAGTAAAATATATCTGAAAGATGGTGCAGTGCCAACATTGAGTATTATATCAAAACAAGAAGAGATAAATTTTTTTAGCATAGGCATCTGAAACTGTTGTGCGTGATTTTATTATCCAAGTTAATTTTCCATTATATACAGGAAATGTGCAAACAGAGAATTTTCGATAGCCATAATAGGAAATATGTAAGTGTTTTTCAAGGTTTGGACCTTCCTGCTTATGATCAAATTGAAGACGCCATAACTGGAGATACAATACAGGTGGCTCTTAAAAAGGAATCTTCATCGCAATCAATCTTCCTCATCATTTTTGGCTCGAAAGCACTAAATAACGACATTTCTTCCACAAAATCTCTTTTTATCAAAATCTCTTTTAATAGAGCTGTGCTTTGTTTAGCCATCATCCAACGGTTTTCTGGATTAGCATGTGAATACTTGAAGCAATGATATTGAAAATAAGCAACAAAAGTGCCAGGTAGTCATCTGCAGCTTTTGGGTCACATAAAGAACGATTGTTAATGGCAAGCATTGTTTCTCTGTTTTTTAGGGTTCATAATTCTCGTTTAATAAATCGTAGAATGCAAAATGAATGGTAGCTGTTATTGCTCCAGTTACTCTACAACCGTTGGCTTTGCATGCGTCAACTATTGACTTGGTTTCTTGCTCTGTAAATGTTCTTAAATGTATCCGCTGACGTTTTTCTGGAGTAATGTCATCACATTGTAGAGGTGGTTGCTTTTGGTAGTATGGATTGATTTGTTTCTTTGTAAAATAAGACATCATTTTTTCTAAACGAAATTCCAATCCTGGACGAAGCCCAAAATGTGAAGCAAAGAAGTGAAGCAATGAATCGCCGATTCTATTTCTATTACCATTTTGTGTGCTGTAGGTAATTGTTCGAGACTTGTTATATCTTTGTCCACATTGGTGACACTACTGGATACCTCATTCAAGTTATTCAGAAATTGATGAACAAATTAAATGTAAGCAATATCATCATAACACGGCTATTTCAATGCAAGCATTATCATAATTGAATATTCTTGCGATGTTTTAATTCGAAGTCTTCAATAAGTATAACAGCTTCCATGGCAAAAAGCTTTTATGCAAGGTAGAGGTGTACTTGACCACTGTATCTTTCCAATCGGTTATTTTAACATTAGACTTTGTGATATTAAAGATGTGAATAGCATCTTCGACATTTCTGATATCAAAATATCGTTCTCCGTCGTTGTTTATCGACACCACTGCTTGTAACATTGGTTGACGTTTAACTAACAAAACTAAAGCATCGTGAACATGTTGAAAAGATAAACTTTCTTTTGATGTTAATGTTATACAACACGATATATTTCCATGGCCATTGAATGAATTCGACATTAATTCTGCTAACGTCTCCAAAAATTCCAATTGCCTGCTGTTTTGATTTTCAATCACGATTGTTCTTGAGGTAAAACAATTCCAAGGCCTTCCATATCAAAATAAAACTGAGAGTCAGCACAATTATTTGCCCAAACCAACTATTTACACGAAATCTAGAAAAACTATCTTTACATTAAGGCTTCTGAATGAGAAGTAATGGTTTTACCGTTTGATCTCTGAAATTTATTGTGGTGAGCACTAAATATTTGCATAGCACAAAGGAATTTATTTCGATGGGCTTAAAATGACATGACGTCATTTTCTCCCAATTCGGGAAATGATGATATTTCACAATGGTATAGAGTATAGACAAATGTCAAAGCTTTTTAATTGGAATGTATTAACTTGCTAATTTACGTCCGAAGAAATTGTCAGCGTTTGGAAGAAAGCCTCACAAAATTGTATCTTTTTTACAAAAATTGTCAATTGAATTAAGATACTAAAAGTAATTATTTTAGGAAGTCAGGAAAGGAATTTGAATATGAAAAAAAAATTTAGACATGTATTTTGTGTTCCATCAAACTTCTAGTGTGTGGTTGCTAGTAGAGAGTAAAGTTTTTGTTCAGACATGACTTGCACTTGTTTATTGAGGATCTTGTTGTATGGGCCCTGTCTAGACGTATCCGGATAGATTTAAAAACGCAAAAATATTGTTATGGTTTTTAAAACTTCTGCGTCCACCCGTACTCGTTTCCCGATCGTTTTTGCCCGTCCACACGTATCCGAATAAATTTGATAACGCTGATAAAATTACATCTGAGCATGCGCAGATGCAAGATGAGATTTCTTGAAGATTTTTTTCAGTATGTATTTTTAAAATTCTTTATGTTTTGAACATTGATTCTGTAGAACAGTGAGTAAGATTGATTTCTTTTTATTTCAGAGCGGTCGTTGCTACTTTTTTCAACTAAAAATGTTTTATTTCAATAAAATTTATTAAGAATATCAACGTCTCATGTTCTAATTTGTTCTTTTTTTCTGTCAAAAATATTTTTCTCCAATCATTGCAAGTGTACTTGATAAGTTCTAGCCCAATTACTATCGGAGTCATGTCTTGTAAACTATCGAAGAAGGATTTCATGACTTCTTCCTCATCAATTTCTGATACTGCATCATCAAAATATATCGATACCCTTTCATCCTTCGGCATCATCAAACATTCATGTCGCCTTTGAGATGAGTGATAAACGCGACAGCCGTCACAGTCTTTTGCCGCAAGTTCGCATATTTTAAAACCATCTTCAGTAGCATAGCACTTTAACAATTTTTTTTGTATATTGCTTTGCCGCTCATCTGAAACATTGCTCTCATCTTTAAATTCGAAGGAAGATCCCTTTACTTTCTTTGCTTGCTCAATGTCTACTTTTAAAGCCATTTTCGTTTTAGTTATACAAAAATTACCAAATAACTTTAACTCAATAAAATTGTAACGTGTTCTCCTTTTTTATATTTGCAAAGGAAACAAAAAAACGGATCTAATATTGCTTTAAGAATAGAAAACAATTGACAATTTTAATAAAGTTTTATCGTGTTTCATTTAAACATGTCATCCAGTAGCAACTTTCGTTCATTTTACGTGGTTTCCAGTTTACACTCGCGCGCCCTGCTTACTTTCTAGGACTGGAAACCTGGAGGACACGGGTAAGAGCTCCATTTACTTCCGTGACCATACCTGCACCATAACTACTCACCATCTGTTTACAAACAGTCAAACACATACAAGCATGAAGTAAGGTATAAGTTGACGACATTGACCGGTCTACTAAAGAATGCCGTTTGATTATCACTTTTAAAATGTTAAAATGTCATAAAATAACTTGAATGTTACAGCCAAAATATTCGTTTCTCCACCGTCGATTTTCTTTATTTTGATGTGTGTGTACTGTGTTTTCACGCAATGCTGAAGCATTATTTTAACATGATATGCTGTCGGTATCGTAATTGTTTTCTTCATTTGTTATCGTTCATTTAAACAGTATTGAAAATCAGGAGGGAGTGAATATTGAAAAATGTTTTAAAGTGGAAGTTTTGACCACCAAAATCCACCATTACCGCCATGTTTTTGACCACAGGCTCCAGGCCACTTTTCCCTTCCAGGTCTTATAGAACTCAATGGTGAATGCACGTTGTTGCACAAATTTCTCATCATTCTATCCCTAACCCTGACAATAGTTTATATATATATATAGGAAGTTTTGTTTATTTGAATCTGCGTAAGTACAGTGCTCGATGCCTAAGAGCAGAGCGTAAATATTGATAAGAAAAAGAAAATACACAAAAACTACAATTTCATCCCGACAAGCCTGTTTCGTGATTTCTCACTCTTCAGGGGATAATATTAAATGAATACAAAAGCATGTGCAAGATTATATATACAAGAGGAAGTTAGGGTAAAAAATTAAGATAGAATCCTGTGTCGAGTCTTAAATTCGTTTTCTGTAAGTCGGATGTATGTCTCAGTTGTGTTAGTGTCCAAACGTTTAGCAGTTGCTTGGTAGATGACAGATGATTGTAGGCAGTTTCAGTTAAGTGGGCAGTTTTGATTTTGTCGGCAGTTGCATGTTTTTGTTTTTATATTTTTGTCATTGATGGTGTCATTAGTATTGTCAGGTATAGGGGCTCTGAGGAGGGGTAGTACCTTTGGTGTCTGGCTGCTGCACTCTACCTGGTAGGGTGGACGGGCATCATTGGTCCCCACTCATCCCTAAATCTCTCACATGTGGCTCCAAGCGCCATGCCCCGGTACACTGTCTCAGCAGGCGCGCTAAACCTTGCGAGGGGGTGGTGTTTACACTGCACCACTGGGCGGACGAGCAGCGACAGGCAGCCAACGGCCAGGGAGGAGGGTCCACAGAAGTGACCCAACGACCAAGTGTAGCAGAAGGAAACCTGCTTCAAACCCATGAAGTGTCCAGGCGTGCTGGAATCTTGGAGCGTGAAGACCCTGGGTCAACGGACGCCCGAGCATCCAGCAGCCATGTTCCACCCATGGATAAATGGTCCCACTGCCTTGTGGGCATCTTTGGGAGAAGAAAAGCTAAGGAGTAGACCTGACAGAAATCCGGAGTGGGGCCCCTAAGGCAGTCTGCTTACATACCAAGTCATCTTTCTGGCAGCACCTGCAGCCGAAGCGATTCCAAACTATAGCACTATGTGTTCCTTTGGACTACATCGTCTAGGCCGAGAGGGGAGTCTTCGAGTTTGGGCAGAGCAGGACTTCCATACTACATGCTCAGGAATCAGTACGCCACACCCCATACACTGAAACGAAGCCCTGGGGCGATGGGCAAGTGGTGACGGTGGCAGGCACAGGATGGTGCTGGGAGCTGCTAGCCACAAACCTGCACTCAGGCGGCCAAGGCGTATATTCGGTCGTTCTTCTCCCACTGAGGCAAGGGCGGAGTCCGGTAGCAACCTTGGTGACGGAGCAGCCCTATTTAGGGATAGCACTGCTACCCCCCCTGTGGGAGGGGTCTAGAAAAGGTGACCCAAACAAAGCTTGCCTCCTCACTCCCTGCCAGCATACCGCAGCTGGCTGGGCATCCAATCACGTGGTCGAATCCAAAACAACAAACGAAACTCCAGCAGAAAAGCACGGAAAACTTTGCAGTTTGCAGCATGGAATGTAAGAACTTTGATGGACACCAAGAACAGCAAGAGACCAGAACGAATGACAGCAATTGTTGGCCACGAACTGTCGCGATATAACATCGACATCACCGCCTTGAGCGAGACCAGACTTGCGGAAACAGGTGAACTGACAGAGGTTGGTGCTGGATACACGTTTTACTGGAGTGGCAAGGGGAAGGACGAGCCTAGAGAGGCTGGCGTGGGCTTTGCCATCCGTACAGCTCTTGTCAGCAAGCTTGAAACAGTCCCGAAGGGAATCAGCGATAGACTCATGATCCTGCGCATCCCGCTGGCTGGCATCACCCACCTGACAGTCATCAGTGCCTACGCCCCAACGATGATGTATGCTGATGAGGAGAAGGAAGCTTTCTACCAGCTTCTCAGCGACACCCTCCACGCGACTCCGGGAGATGACAAGGTACTCCTGTTAGGCGACTTCAACGCCCGCGTTGGGAGAGACAACACTGCATGGCCATCCGCAATGGGTCCCCACGGCATGGGAAAGGTGAACTCCAACGGACTCCTTCTGCTGACTCTGTGCTCCAAGGAAGAGCTGACCATCACCAACACGCTCTTAGAACATCCAGAGACCCACAAAGCCACCTGGATGCACCCCCGCTCTAAACACTGGCACCTGATTGACTTTGTCATCACGAGACGCTGCGACATCAGCGACATCCTGGTAACCCTAGCAATGAGAGGAGCAGACTGCTGGTCAGATCATGTTATGCTGCGTTGCAAAGCATCCTTCAGGATTGCAGACAAGCACAGGAAACAACCCAGCAGCGTGAAGAAAAAGCTTGATGTGAACAAGCTGGAACAGCCCGCAAGTTCAACAAGCTCTCAGTGACGCCCTTTCCCAGAACCTGCAACAGGCAGCACATGCTGAAGGCAGTCCCGACTCAGAGTGGGCAATATTCAGAGACACAGTCTACAGCACTGCCGAAACGGTCCTTGGGCACCCCAAGAAAAAGCATCAAGACTGGTTTGATGACAACAACCAGGAGATTCTCGACCTCCTGGCAAGGAAAAGAGCAGCCCATGCAGCCTGGCTGAGTGACAAGTCCTCAGTGCCTAAGCACGAACACTTCAAGAAGCTGAGAAGTGAGGCCCAGGTCAAGATCAGACAGATGAAGGATGCTTTGTGGGAGGCAAAAGCAAAAGAACTCCAGAGCTATGCCGATCAACACGCCACGAAGCTTTTCTTTAGCGGCCTGAAGTCAGTTTATGGACCTTCCCCCAGCACCATGACCCCAGTTCGAGCGGCTGATGGGATCCTGCTAACAGACAAGGCGCTTATCCTTGAGCGTCGGACAGCCCACTTCAGCTAGCTACTAAACAGGCCATCCTCCATTGACGAGCAGACACTCCAAGACCTGCCACAGCGACCTCTGATTCCCACCCTCGATGAGATACCAACGAGAAAGGAGACACTGAAGGCCATCAGCCAGCTTCAGACTGGTAAAGCTCCAGGGCCAGACGGAATCTTTCCTGAAATCTACAAGGTGGGAGGTGAGGCTATCGTTGACCGGCTGATCGGTCTGTTTCAAAACTTTTGCGAGAAGGGAGAGCTGCCTCAAGACTTCAAAGACGCCAACATCATACACCTGTATAAGAACAAGGGCGAGAAGGCTGCTTGCGACAATCACAGAGGCATCTCCCTCCTCAGCATTGCAGGGAAAATCCTGGCACGTGTCCTGCTGAACAGGATTACCGAACACCTAGTGGACAGCGTTGTCTCAGAGAGCCAGTGTGGCTTCAGGCAGAATAGAGGTACGCTGGACATGATATTTGCAGTCAGGCAACTGCAGGAAAAGTGCATCGAGCAGAATCAAGACCTCTACCTGCTCTTTATTGACCTGACCAAGGCCTTCGACACCGTCAGCAGACCCGGCCTCTGGCCCATCCTGTCTAAACTAGGTTTGCCCCCCCCCCAAGTTCGTCAGAGCTGTTCGGTCTTTCCATGATGGCATGATGGCCAGGGTGGTCGTAAATGGGGATGTCTCCGAGCCCTTCCCCGTCACCAACGGAGTCAAGCAGGGCTGCGTCCTGGCTCCCACACTCTTCAGCCTGCTGTTCGCCGAGATGCTGTCAGCTGCACTAACCCAAACCAGCGCCGGCATCAGGATCAGATACAGGACAGATGGACGTTTTTTCGACCTACGTCGTCTGAAGGCCAAGACCAAAGTGCGTGAAGCCCTGGTCCGCGACTTCCTCTTTGCTGACGACTGTGCGCTTGGCGCCCACTCTAAAGAAGACTTGCAATGCCTGGCAGAATGTTTCTCCACCGCTGCTAAAGCCTTTGGTCTGACAATCAGCGTCAAGAAGACTGAGGTCATGTACCAAGCAGCCCCTAGTGCTAGCAAGCCAGAACCAGTCGTTGAGATTGACGGTGCTCAGCTGAAGAATGTGGAGGACTTCACCTACCTAGGTAGTTGCCTCTCCTCGTCTGGGACACTGTACAGGGAAATTTCCTGTCGACTGGCAAAGGCTAGCAGCGCCTTTGGACGCCTTTGGACAAGAGTGTGGCACGAGCGGGGCATCACGCAGAAAACGAAAGTCGCAGTCTACAGAGCTGTGGTACTGACATCGCTCCTATACGGCTGTGAAACGTGGACCTGCTATCGCCGCCACATCAAAAAACTGGACCAGTTTCATCTCCGCTGTTTGCGCAGACTCCTGGGTATCCACTGGGAGGACCGTGTGACCAACCAAGAGGTCCTTCGCTGTGCCGCCCTGCCTGGAATCGAGGCCTTGATCATGCAGTCCCAGTTGAGATGGTCAGGCCACGTGATGCGTATGGAAGACAGCCGTCTTCCTAAGCAGCTCTTCTGTTCTGCACTGGCCAGCGCACAAGAAAGCAGGGAGGCCAGATCAAGCGCTACAAAGACTCCCTGAAGCAGTCCCTGAGGGCCTGCAACATCCCCGTCGATGGTTGGGAAGGACTGGCTGCCAACCGTACTGCCTGGAGGCAGTCTACACTGTACGGGGTCAAGGCCTTCGAGGACCGTCGACTTGAGCAGCTTGATGCCAAACGCCAGGCCAGGAAGGACAGGAGAGCAAACCCTGCTGCTGCCGTAGCCTACCCGGTGTGTGGAAGAATCTGTGCATCGGACTTCGGGCTACGCTCACATATGAGGCGCCACTGACGTCATCCTCGCTTCGCGACGGACTTCCATAATAATAATAGTATTGTCAGGTTCTCTCAATATGCGTTATAAATATATAATGGGTTTTGTGATAGAAACTATCGCAAACAAAATCGCACGGAAATAGAGTGCTCAATGCCACGGCAGAGCGGTATAATTGAAAATAAATAAACTATTATTATCGAATTTAGTATGGCAGTTGTTTAACTTGCCACACTCGTCAGGAGAATAAATTTGAAAACTCTTGACGAGTGTGGCAAGTTAAACAACTGCCATACGAAACAGTTCTGTAGGGAATAAATTTCGATGAAGTAATTCGTGGTTTATTTTATTTTCATTATATATATATATATATATATAACCGTACGTCCTGTGTCCCAAGTGCAGGAGTCACCATTTTACTATGGTGATAGCCGGGAGGGCACATTGTTATACACTTTGTATATATATATATATATATACATTGTACATACACTTTGTATATTACGCTCACTGCGCGTGCGTAGTTTGAGCACTGTCGGATTGTGTAGAGTCTCATATGGAGACGTTCACCGTGTTCGCGATATGCAAAGCTCACCTTTATAGATTTGAGCACTGTGGTGATTCTATAATACAATCCATGCGATGTGTAACTGTACATCCTGTGTCCCAAGTGCAGGAGTCACCATTTTAATATGGTGATAGCCGGGAGGGCACATTGTATATACACTTTGTATATATATTTATATACATAAAAGATAAAAGTTTCTCCGGTTTTAAGTGATTTTTTATTGAGCTTTCGACTCGTTGCTTCGAGCCTTCATCAGAATGAGGATATTTATTTACACGTGCTTTTAGCTTGGAGACGTTTAGAGCGTTTAATTAGATTAGTGGGTGGATCAATGTGATTGGATGGGGTGAAATGCGTATTTAAAATGCTCAATAAAAAATCACTTAAAATCCGGAGAAACTTTTATCATTTATAGAAATGCCTGATTACAAATTTTCAAACTTATATATTATATATATATATATAAGTTTCAAGATTGGTAATCCAGGCATATTTAATGAATAAAAATATGAAACACAAAGGTGTATATTTGCAACACGTCGAAACACAATATCAGTCACAAACAACACACATCTCAGACTATGAAATGTGATGATGTAAGATGTTACCAGGCAACAAGATGAACACATTGTGGAATAAGGCTCAGTACGAAGTACTGTCTGTTAGTGTCGACTCGTCCTGAATACTCATATGTAAATATAAAAGTACGTTAGAAACTCTCGTTCACAAGAATTTAAAATGACTAATGATTAAAGAAATTTTGTGGAAATATTTACTCATGCTGAGCATGAACCTCATGTAAATCAAGCTGGTGGAGTATTATTACAACAAGAATTCTGAAATAAGAGACAAGGACTGACAGTGCACTTTTCTTTACTTGCGTTGGAATTTTCTTCACCTTCAATTTTAATCCTTTATGTCACAGTCATTCTAAGACCGTCTGTTCTGCTGTTGAATTTAAACAAAATCATTTCATTATAGAATGTTTTAACCATTAGTCTATCATGTTGGGGGGAAATCCTATTAAGAGCAAAGAATTTGTGTTAATTTCATGCCTTGATGAGCATCGGATCAGTACGATGTACTCCCTCGACATCGGCGTTTGACGTCGCATGTATCACATGGGAACACTCAACATACTGCGCCTTTCACTTTTACGTACATGCACTTTCAAAACGGACGTTATGGTATGGCAAGCCAAAGTGGACAAAAGTGTATTGAGTTTTAAAAATTGATAGTTCAGTGTAAAAATAAGGAAATTGATAGTCGAGAAAAAGAAATCGCATGTTGAGAAAAAGAAATTGCATGTCAAGAAAAAGAAATCGCATGTCGAGATTCGAGAAAAAGAAATCGTATGTCGAGATTTCTGTCTGTACAAGAGGTCAGCGGTTGACCATTTCAAAAACGCGCGAAGCAAACGCGGAAGTCTGATTAATATGGCGGCTGGGGAAAACCATTCAAACAGCATAGTTGGTGAATTGATCAACAGAGTGCAGGAGCTTTCTGAAGCGATAGCAACGCGTGATGTAAATCGCGAAGTAAGGCGCGTGTTTTCAGGTAATCGTTTGAATGAAACAACACAAGATGTTCCTCAACAGCAAAGTGAGTCCTCTCAAACGTCCAGTCGCAGTCGCAGTTCCATTTCTAATCGTCCGGCTCCCTATGTATCTCGACGCTTTTTCAATTCAACATCAAGGTCATCAGCATCTTCTCAATCATCTAGAGGGATCTCAAGTAGGAAGAAACGGAAATTAACTGATAACAGGCCATTTCTTCGTGACTTAATACTACTTAGTGGCCCCAACGAAGACAAAGTTCCTCGTCAAGGGGCTCGCGTGTTTTTGTTAGAGAACGGTCATGTTGTTAATGGCTGCCAATTTACAAAGAACATGACTGCAGCTCAAGTAGAAACCAGAATCATGGAGATTTTAATGGTAAAATCCCAGATTTAGTTGACATTGAAATACTTATGTCGATTCATACTACATTGGTTGCACCAGCGTTGGATCCAGATCAGCTGGGAATCGATGGTGTTATTCTTCATCGCTTGTACAAGAACAAACCCGTCTACATTCGCCCAGACACAGAAATACTGAAATTGAATCATTTGGATGTAGATAACAGTGAAAAAAGAAGATCTTCGGTTAGATGTATTTCAATGAATTTATACTCCTCCTCATTTTATTTTGGAGTACTGTGATTTCAGATTGTGTGTCTGATGATTTTGGTCATTTTAACTTAAGTACAAACATTTTTAGGTCAGGTCATCTAGTGATCATGTTTTACCTGTGGAGATGGATATTTCCTCTACAGGTATGTGTTACTTTTAGTCCAAGTGCTTTAGCGTGTTAAGGTTTTTATGTATATTTTATATTATGAAATAACAACAATACAATATGTGTGTTGATTGGGCTATAGCTGAGTTTGGGTTAGCCTGTGCAAAATGATCTAACCTCAATTGTATTATGATTGTTATTTTATAAAAAAAAGATGTTTACTGTGTTTGCACTACTGGCTTATTAAAATACAGTAAACATTTTTTATTTGTTAGTTGTTATTGTTCTCTTGTATATTTTATGCCATAAATTTTGAATAGAATTTGCATATCAATTGTAATTGAAAACAAATGTCAAAGTATTTATAGCTGGTGTCATGTGTTCATATAACGTAGTATTCCAAAAATTATCTCCCACATTTGAATTGAAAAGGAACTAAACAGTACATAATGGTTGTTACTTACTTTTGATTTGACCCAATCTTCCACAGGATTGGAAAGTGAAAAGTTTGACTATACACCAATTGTGATTGATAATTCTTTTATAGTAGAGCATTCTCAAACCTCAGCTGATCCAGCTTCAACAGTCCAACATCACTCCTTATATCTTCTTGAGCAATCCTTAACTGTTCCTGATCATCCATTAACTGTTCCTGATCATTCTATAACTGTTACTGATCATCCTTTAAATGCTAATGACCCTTTTCCAACTCCAACAGTGCAACTACCAGAAACATACAACATTCACCAACAAGGTAAATAAACATACATATGCATACGCATTTACCTTCAGTTGTTGCTTTTTTGTTTTATTTTTGTCATTTTTGTCACAACACAGAAGTCCTGGAGGAGCCACAGCTGATCAACAATGACCCAGTGCACTTTGAAAACGAGTTGCAAGAGACAGTGGTGGTATTGGTGCATAGAACAACTATACGTGTTGATTTGGTCATGGCATTTAAAAATCCTGAAATATTGAAGTACTGCATAAAGTTTTCAGTGATAAATGCAAATGGGAAAAAAAGAAGAAGGAACTGGGGAAGGTGTAACAAGAGATGTGCTTTCAACATTCTGGCAAGAATTTAATACGGTTTTGAGCATTGGAAGCAAAGAAAAATCTCCGATTATTCAACATGAGTACCAAAAAAATGGAATGGGAAGCTATAGCGAGACTTTTGGTATATGGATATAAGGCTGTTGGTTACTTCCCATTGCAGTTGTCACACATCTTCATGTCAACTTGTTTGTTTGGAGGATCACTTGACTAGGCCAGCTTTGCTCGATTCATTTCATTCTTACATCACAAGCGAAGATAGAGAGATTTTTGACAAGTGTGTCAGTAATGATTTTGACCCCACCAATGAAGAGATTATAGAGTTGTTGTCAAACTGGAACTGTCATAGACTACCAACAAAAGATAACATTCAGGATATCTTTTATGAATTAGCTCATCAAGAGTTGATTCAAAAGCCAAGATATATTGCAAATTGCTGGGGGCCTATCCTAACCATACTCAAAGTTGATCCTGCTTTTCAAACAATAGCACGTCTCACAAATTTGTATGATTGCAAACGCCCAAGTGCACGAAAAATTCTTCGTATGATCGATGCCGACACGGAAAATGATAGCCAGAGAAGAGCCATTGATCATTTGAAGCGTTATGTTCGATCCCTTGAAGGTAACACCCTGAAAAAGTTCCTTCATTTTGTCACTGGCAGTGATGTCATAGTGTGTGATAAAATTACTGTTGCGTTTACATCGCTAGATAGTTTTAATCGTCGCACTATTGTGCATACATGTGGTCCAATGATAGAGTTACCAACCACATATGATTCATACACCGACTTAGCTGAGGAATTTAACAATATAATGAGGGAAGATAAAAGTTGGTCATTTCATATTGCATAAGTTTTTCTCAAACATTTCTATTGAGTGTTACTATTTACATTTTAAATTGTTTTGTTGAATTTGGATTATTATTTACAGGCATTTTTAACAAATGGTTAACCATGATGTATTCATACATATCTGTTGTATTCATCATCTGCATTATCATTGACTACTGTCCTTAATTGAAAGTCCTCGATAATATGTAGAGCTTGCAAGTAATGGTTGATTCCATTATCGCCATCATTTGACATTGGATTAACTTGGTCATTCAAAATCTGAAACTGCTCATCGGTTAGTTCCACATCAGAGTTTGGAACAACAATGTTGTTTGATGTGATAATGTCTGGCAATGGGCCTTCAAAATCTATTCCATACAATTCAAAATTTATTAATGATGATTCGTCTGACTCCAACAGCATGTTCGTTTGCCACATAGCCATAGGTGTTTGGTGAGAGCATGTTCTGAGCCCATGGTAATTCCATTGGGTAACAAATTCAGCCAATGAAGCATTAATTCGAGGTAGATAAACGAACTGTAAACAGAATAGATGCACCTCATTCAATGAATCAAGTAATGAATTCTCTTCCAAATGTTTGAAGATTCCTTTGTAAAGTGCAGATAGAACTCTGTTGACCTCAGCCCATAGTCTTTCTATCCGCTGGTTATGAACACTTCGACCAGCTATATAGCTTCCTCTGTCCATCCCTTTGCTTGAAATCATATATTTTGCCACCTCAAAATTTTCAACACCATGGTCTCCTCTCACTCTCGATGGCAATCCAAAATCTTCAACACCTTGCTTAAATAAATTCAAAACTGTTGATGCTCTATTATCAGTGCAACATTTTAAGTAAATAACGGCTCGACTAAATCCATCAATGCAACCATGTATAACCATCCTCCATGATATAAGCTTGTGATTTGAATCTAGATGCCATAAATTATTGGGTCCCTATAAACTCTTCGACAAATAGCATATCTTCTTCTCAAGCTTCGACCTATAGGATCAACACTTTGCAAACTTTCCCTCACTCGTGATCTCTGAACAAGTACACCCCTTGCATGCAAACTTCCTTTCAAATAAGTCTCTCCACTATATCGTGTCAATTGCAGGATTTCTTCTATGGTTTGGTCCAAACAACTGTCAGATACTTGCGAATAAGTTGATGCAATACCAAATTCTTCCCTTCTACGTGACAGGGTTTTCTCTGATACCTGTAAAAAAGCAGCAATACTCTTCCAGTTCATGCCTGTCTCTCGCAATAGCTCGATTTGTTCTTTGGTTATATCATACGCTGGCCTACCCCCCGTACTAGGGAGCATTTTCACAATTCTTTCCCTCTGAGTCAGATTTTGATTAAAATTATTTTCAAAAAACCTCTGTTATTTTTCATCAATCTCTTTTCATGTATGCAATCAGATTATCTAAAAGAGCACCTAGTGAACGTCTTTGTATATTTCCACCAGTAGCATCAGGTTCGCCAAATCGTGTCAGCTCGTGTTGTTGTACTTTAATAGACATTGCTGCAATAACTGGAATATAAATGTCAAGCTTATTTTTATTATATTCTATTAAAACTGGATCATTAACAGGAAGACTCTGTGTTATATCAGCAAACAGTTTATCGAGGAAATTAAGAAATCGAACAAGCTCTTCCGTTTCAGACGCATCAGACGCCATTTTTTGAAAAGTAGAATGGTTTAGAAGCCGCTGACCTCTTGTACAGACAGAAATCTCGACATACGATTTCTTTTTCTCGAATCTCGACATACGATTTCTTTTTCTCGAATCTCGACATGCGATTTCTTTTTCTCGACATGCGATTTCTTTTTCTCGACATGCGATTACTTTTTCTCAACATGCGATTTCTTTTTCTCGACTATCAATTTCCTTAGTTTTACACTGAACTTTCAATTTTTAAAACACTTTTGTCCACTTTGGCTTGCCATACATTGGCTAGCGTTACGCGCTATAATGTGATTGGCTAACAAAATAAACATGCATTTGCTTCTTAAATTTGTTGAAATTGTGTTATCGATGGCAAAGTGCAATTCAACGTTTAAAAGACGGGTTTTTATTTTTGCACAAATACGTCAAGTGCTTAAAATAGGTTTTCTTAATGTTTTCCTTTGCCCATTCAGGGATAAATTCAGGTAAATATTAATAAAAATTCGTCGTCTGTTGGTAATTTAAAATAAGAAACTCCAGTGACGCCAATTCCGTGCGTACGTCCTCTTATGGATCATAGAATGCCCTCTTATAGATCATACCAATAAAATTGCTCTAATTCTTAAGGTTATTACATAATAAACTTTCTATTATTAAAGCTTGCTTGGTCTTGAAATATTCTTGAATAACTGCTTTTGGTATAACACATAATGAACAATTACTGTTTTTCAGTTTCCAAAGAGAACATTGTCAGAGCACTGGCTTTTAATAAAAATTCAAATGGTAATTGTTTAGGACTTTTCGATTTGACTCTAACCAGCAGTTTTTCATGGTTATCTTTTCAAACTTCTTGCTGGCAAATTAGTTACCTCATTTGATTGCTCGTCAATTCATCCAAATGCCATCAGACGTTTGTGCATAGTGCATGTTTATACACACATCGATATATTCAAAAATTCCAAACAAATTTTTAAGTTGGTTTTTAATGCGTAACACAAAATGACGACACTTTTTGTGTTTCCACTAGGTTGCAACGTGTTCATTGTCCCTCTTATTTCTTAGAAAAAAAAAGCTCTGCTTGATATGGCATACCTGGACTCCATGCAAATTATTGTCAGTGATTTTAAGCTCATTCTAATATCATTCACCGTCAGTCTAATCTTCTAACAAGAACTTTTCACTGCTTATGCTAAAACTGTTTCCCTGTATAGACACAAGAAGCAAGGCTTATGCAAGGTTAAAGGTAAGATTTATTTAGCCATGATTGCAACAGTATTAAGCGTAACAATGAATTATGCCAAAAAGTTCTTGCTCATTTCAAAAGGAATTCTTCCAGTTGTATCACAAAATTTTGCTTTCCCAAATCCTTCTTCAAACCCTTTATTAGTGATGTAATGCGGCTGCGGTTTTTCGTCTGTCATCGCTTTTAGGATATACTCGGCCACTTCTGCAGGAGATTGAGCTTGAGACGCCATTTTTTGAGTGTTAGCAAAAAATTTTTCTCCAAGCAATTTCGTTGGGTCGTCATCTTTTAGATTCTCAGTGCAGAATGAGAATTCAGCACCCCCTCGTGTAGCTATTGCACCTGGTATAACGGTTATAATACTGCAAAGAAAAAAGAATGAAATGTATATTACACACATTGATTTGACAAACACTTTTGCTTGCGGTTTCTTGTTGCGGACGTGCAGTGACGTCATATATTACAACAAGTGATTACCTAATGTACAATTTTTCAACATAGAGTTTTTAACAAATGTTCTGTCAAAAAAGAAAACAGCGATATAACATTGTTAAAATACACAGACGAGGCAGTACGACGTTGCTTTCATGCAACTTCGTTGAGGTTTTCCTCACAGGGTTATAATTCCGTACGAAAAGCGAAATTGATCCGCATCTGCCATAGCCTAGTTGAATCAGATAAAGGGTTACAGTTCAGGTCAGGGATAAATTTCGCGTATTTGTAGAACACGGAACTATTACTCTTTTACAGTTTATATCTTGTGCCTAAGGCTAATTTACGTCAAACAGTGCACTATATGTAAATACAACTGCAGCCTGTTCTTTACAAAAATTATTGCAAACAGCCGAGCACATACAAAGGTGTATTAACAAATTTCAGTAAAACAAAATAACACATAGATAAAACAGTTTTAAGTGTATTGTACTTGCTATGTGTTCTATGGTTCTTTACTATAGATTATTCTTACGAGTGGGAATGCTCAATATGGCGGCGCATCTAATCATAGCTGTCTACTTCCGGTTGAAAATTTTCGCACTCGTTATATTGGTAATACGCGATCCATGTAGTATACATTCCAATATGATGAATTATGCCTAACGACTTATGACTAAAATATCACTTTCATGTGACGCAATGGCCAATCTGTTTACCAGATTTAAAACTTATGGATAAGAGACTCAAAGATTTTACAAATTCAATATTTGACAGTGAATCGGGATTTATGCCAGGTTATGCTAATGAAATTGTTGCACATGACATGCAGCTTACTAATGATAATTACTTACTGAACATTAAACGTTGCAAGCTCAGGCGCCAGGGAATCCGAAATTCCTTCCAAGGCACATTTTGTTGAGGAATACACGGTGATGAAAGGAAAAGCATGTAATCCTGAAACTGAGGTGATGTTGATGATGCGGCCTTTCTTGTTTTTCTTCATAGACGGAACAACAGCACGGATGACGCGCAATGGGCCATAGACGTTCGTATCGTAGAGGCCTGTGATAGTATCCCAAGGCTGCACTTCGAGGACACCACACCAGCCAATAGCAGCGTTATTCACTAAATATGGAGTATTATAACGTTAAAGGAGCATTTAAAAATTGGAACACCTTTGAGTTTGACAATAAAGTCAATAAGTTTAACCAAAGCGCGTCAATGGCATTATATATATATTTAAACAATTGAAGAAAAACAGTAAAGTCATGAGTGTTGGTTCAATTACGCAATCTCTCTGTTTTTTTAGTTTTTAGACCTGGATCTTTCTAAAATCGTGTTAATCTTACAGCCCTATTTGAGTTCGCACTACTACATGTTTCACCCATACACAAGGCACCTAAAAAAACCTTACTAATTGTACCTACCAGCCATTTGTTCAACGTCCCATTCCGTACTTGTGAAAATTGCTTTTGCTCAATTGTTCTTAACCAATCACACTTAGGCTAGACGCAGGGACGGATGTAGGGTTTTAAATACGGTAGGCACATTTTATGACATCAGATATATGACGTCATAAAACTGACGTCATATCATATGAAATTAATAAAGTCAGTTACATTAATTATGTAGGTCTACTCAGTCCTGCTGACCTTAGTGGCTTATCTGAATATGTATGTAACAACATACTGGAATAAGTACATACTAGAGCTAATCTGATATCCAATACGTCCATTTACAAGCAAAATATACACAGTAAGCCCAAAACGATAGCCCATAACATGAATACCATTTTAAAAACGAAAAGTCGTTTTGTAAGAATTAGAAGTGGTTTCTTACACCATTCCATAAAATTATAACACTTTACCACCACAACATAGTAATAATTATTACTCTCCAAATACCCAATACATAGTAATAATTCATGTAGTAGTGATTAAAATAGAGTACTATATAGCCATTTATGCAAATACAGCCTATTGTGGCTAGCCTAGATACATTTACAACTATACTTCCTTTATTTACAAACATCCACATTTTAGATAAAAGTATGTTAATATGAGTTGGATTATTACAACTTTCCTCAAAAAAGTTCAAAATGCTGAAGATTAATCAAACACATGGACAAAATAAAAACAGGGGAGTTAAGCAAGCGAAATCACTCCCATGTGTGAAATATCAAAAGCACTTTAGCCAGTCAGCAACGTTTTGATACATTAGTAATAATCAAGTACTTCTAAATTACAGAATCCTTGCTTAACTGCAAAACCTCATGACTTGAACACAATTGTCTATATCATCATGACAAAATAATGATCTAGCCGGTAATTGCATTATTCATATAAGATATTTATAACTGTATAATACTAATGAATGATAGTATAAATATTACACATCTTTACTTCAATGTTTTGTTGTTGAGATCGTAATTTGCCACATACTTATTACTTAACCAAAATTCAGCTAAAAGCGTCTGTGGCCTAATAATACATAACAGCTGTTTCAATAATCCTTTAATTCCCACTAAAGCACATCTTGCCAATGCAGATCAAATAGTCATGTATAAATTTTATAAAGGTTATATGATTTACACTTGCCTCTAATGCCTCATGTGCCTAGAACACAATCACAGAACTATGCTTAGCGACTGCCGTGATTGGTTCATTTGGCTCAAGTTAGAAAAAATATTAAATGAAGATATGATCTTCGCACTTTGCTAGACAATTTAAGCAATTGTCTCATGAACCTGAAAAATTCAGGTGACTCAACGGGATTCAAACCATGAGACAATTGCTTAAATTGTCCAGCAAAGTGCGAAGATCATATCTTCATTTAATTTCAAAACACCGCACTGCATATAACATTCTTTCATTAGAAAAAATATGTTATCAAATGAGCACACAGAATTTATAAATCTCAACAAATCAGAAAGACTCTAGATGATGTCAAGTTAGGCAAAAAACGGATATCTACATACATACGAAATGGCTAGATTGGCCATTGAAGTTGGTGCCTTTGCCTAACAACAACAGAGCTATAAATATAAATCAGTTTTAACATGACTGCTAATCACAAAATACATATTAATCAGATTAATTTACAATTTTGCTTATCTAGTATCCTGATCGTATAAAATCAAAATCAGATTGATTTAGGAATTTATCATAGTGTCAAATGCCTTAGTTGCCTACTCCTGGACGGGGTGAACATCCTAGCCCTCAATCAATCCCTAAATCAACATGTTTTAACATCTTAACAATTATTTTGCTATTTTCATAAAGATATACATAGATTTCATTTATTGTATCTCACAATAATTATCTGCCTTAATTCAGAATTCATTTCCTTTAATTTACTAAAAGTAACTATCGCTAGGGGAAGTGCTGCATTGCAACCCTTGTCAGCAAAAAAAGCTAGGTACAGTCAACACCCTTATAGGACCATATATTACAAATTAGCTTGGATAAAATACTTTTCAACAAGTCTTAAGTTGAGTGAATTAAGTGTTTGGTACAGGGAAACAATAAAAAAGGCATCACAAAATGTTGATTGCAACAAATTTTCAGTCACATGAAACATTAGAAGTCTAATTACCTGTTTCTAACAAAAAAAATTTGAATCTAGTGTGCTGATGAATTCAGCAATGTTTTCCTTACTGTTTAATACACCCAATAGAAATACTTATGTGTTAAAGAGTCACTAATATATTCAGTCACTAATATATTCAAAGGTGCAGTAATGTATTCAGAGGTGTGACTCAAAAGAGTCACTTGACAGTGTCATTAACAATTCGCCATAAGCTGGGAAGGACAAGCCATTTCCTAATGTCCGAAGCAAAATATTTTCATTCTGCACTTTTCACTCTAACAAAGTTTACTATAGTACTTCACCTTTTTTTAAATTATTTAAAAACCTAGATACGATTGGATTCAATCCATTGGGAATAACCTTATTCACAAGTAAAAAATGACTGTACGCTTAGGTAGTTTTTAAGTATCTAGAGTAGATTGCATTTGCCTAAAAGATATTGCGTAGTTTGTTGTTTAGGCAGCGCAAGCCTCAACGATTTAATCTTGTACGACAATACAATGCCATATCTCGTACTTGCTTTTTGCAAACGTCAAAGTTTTAATGTCGTTTAAATGCGCTAAAACAAATTTCCTTCGTAAACTTAAATCTAAGATTAAAATGGCACAAATTGTCAGACAATTAGCTAAATTTAAAGAAGCTCGGAGAAATCGTACCAACAATGTCGATTCTCCCCTCCTTTTCCAGTATTTGCTTCACAACAGCGTTGACAGAATCTTCTGAACAAACATCCAGTTGGATTACAACAAGATTGCTACAGCCAGCAGTTTTCTTTACTAATTCATCTTTCTTGCTCGTATTTCTCATTGATGCGTACACTTTATATTTCTTATTTGTTTGCTTTGCAAGCATCTCAGCCGTCGCAAGACCAAGGCCTGCGGATGTTCCAGTAATAAGTACAATTTCTTCTGCCATTTTTTTCGTAAGATATCCTCCCTTGTTTGCCAAGCCGAATGTAATATGAGATGATCAGCAAACTGCGTTGCTAATTTATATCACATTTACAAGAGTTCATCACGTGTAGTTAACACGTGCAATCCGGCTATTTACGTCACAGGCTTGTTTGTCTGTGCTCCATTATGTCCGTTTTGAAAGTACATGTACGTAAAAGTGAAAGGCGCAGTTTGTTGAGTGTTTCCGTATGATGCATGCGACGTCAAACGCCGATGTCGTGGGAGTACATCGTACTGATCCGATGCTAATCAGGGCATGAAATTAACACAAATTCTTTGCTCTTAATAGGATTCCCCCCAACATGATAGACTAATGGTTAAAACACTCTATAATCAAATGAATTTGTTTAAATTCAACAGCAGAGCAGCCGGTCTTAGAATGTCTGTGACATAAAGGATTAAAATTGAAGGTGAAGAAAATTCCAACGCAAGTAAAGAAAAGTGCACTGTCAGTCCTTGTCTCTTATTTCAGAATTCTTATTGTAATAACACTCCACAAGCTTGATTTACATGAGGTTCATGCTCAACATGAGTAAATATTTCCACAAAATTTCTTTAATCATTAGTCATTTTAAATTCTTGTGAACGAGATTTTGTAACGGACTTTTATATTTACATATGAGTATTCAGGACGAGTCGACACTAACAGACAGTACTTCGTACTGAGCCTTATTCCACGATGTGTTCATCTTGTTGCCTGGTAACATCTTACATCATTACATTTCATAGTCTGAGGTGTGTGTTGTTTGTGACTGATATTGTGTTTCGACATGTTGCAAATATACACCTTTGTGTTTCATATTTTTATTCATTAAATATGCCTGGATTACCAATCTTGAAACTTATATATATAAATATATAATGGGATTTTGTGATAGAAACTATCGCAAACAAAAGCGCACGGATAGAGTGCTCAATGCCACGGCAGAGCGGTATAACTGAAAATAAAGCGGTATAATTGAAGTAATTCGTGGTATATATATATTTGAAAATTGGTAACCCAGGCATATTATGATAATATAAAGGATTCTCTGGATTTTTATTTTGAAATTTTTATTAAGCTTTCAACTCAGTGCTTCGAGCCTTCGTCAGAATGTAAGAATATATTATTTACAAAGATTTTGTAGCCGTTTGGAGCGTCTGATTGGTTGGCTAGCAGTTGAGTTGATATTATTGGATGGTATAAGATGCGTTGTCATGGTTTCGGGTGTATGGATTGCGTCAATGAAATTCGAGTGTTTTATAAATAATATATTCTTACATTCTGACGAAGGCTCGAAGCACCGAGTTAATAAAAATTTCAAAATAAAAATCTAGAGAATCCTTTATATTATCATATATATATATATATATTGATAAGAAGAAGAAAATACACAAAAACTACAATTTCATCTCGACAAGTCTGTTTCCTGACTTCTCACTCTTCAGGAGATAATATTAAATGAATACAAAAGCATGTGCTAGATTATTTATACAAGAGGAAGTTAGGGTAAAAAATTAAGATAGAATTACATAATTTTTGAGTGTATGGTTACAAATTGGATAAAAGTGCCTTGTGTCTATGGCGACAAGAGGAGATAAGTTCGTTACGTTTGTTGAGTGATGGTAGTTGTGGTTGGTAGGTGATAAAGAATTTTCCTTTCAGGCATAGGTTGCATCTTTTTTGGGCGCTGTTGTACGGTTTGCTGTGAGTGATGATGTTCCATGAGATATCGTTAGCGATGTTGTTGTCTTTTAGTGTCCAAATTTTTCTTGTGGCAACAAACACAATTATACATTGCAATATTTCAAAATGCTTAACACCGGGCATATTAGTAGCATAAAATGAAACCATTATCGATTCGGATTTCTTCCGTAATTACCCTAGTAACCAATTACCATTGGACTGGGTCAAGTTATAGATCAGCTGGATAAGCATTATTTTTATAGTTTGTACTAATCCATCTTAATTGAGATACAATCGAAGAAACTATCGTTCGAGTAAAACATGTCACTGATATGTATAATACTGGATAACGCGGCTTAGTGCTTGACTTGAAGCCGGGCGGCGCCCATATTGGACTGTCTACTTTTTCAGTTTTTACATACGTTTTATATAACAAACTGCAACTCTCGCATTTATTTTGGATCATTTGTTTCAGTCTTGGGACAAAATATAATTATTGTACTAATGTTAACATAAGCACAAACTTTATGACCATCCAATTTTACATATTTGAGAATTGTGGGGATGGCAATAAATCATTTATCTTTTCAGTATTATCATTTTTTTGTATAAAAACTATAAAGACTCTGCCTGGTCAATAACATCTTCCAGTCATTTTCGCTTCTTGATCTTCCCTGCATGTTGTCAGCAAATAGAACATAGCAAGCTCTACTCTGCTCCAAATCATGGGTACTGTTTGGGCTAATCGTTTCTTTTCGATATCTACCAACTGACTAGAATGTGCAAGGTGTTTTTTGCGTCAGAGTATATTAACGATTTCATACATTAACAAATAACAGAAAAGTATGCTGAGTTTTACTAAGAAAAACAGGAAAAAATCAGTATATTTGGCATTCAAGTCAGTCTTAAAAAATACAGTCTCATAGATTTTATGACTTTCCAAGTGCATAATTGCTTTTCAATATTTGATTAGCAAACAAAACAAGCAAATATTTCACCAGCAAAGCCAGATGCCCTTTTGTGTAAACTACGACATCCAACAATTGAGCGATTGAAGTGTTGCCATTATAAAATGCCAAAAAGACATCACGTTTGTTTTTGAAATACTCTATACAATTGACAATACACACCAGGGGGAGATCGAGAATATTTTTTTCTGCAAAGCGAACATTTCAGCGGAAATAGAGAATTTAACATCATAGATATAGTCGGTCAAGATTGCTGATGAGCCGCCATATTGCGTGACATTCGTGATAAATCTAAGATGGCGCGGGAACCGGACAAAAAACATAGAGTTACTCTAGTGCAATTGACGTTTTTCGCAATTTACTTCTTCTCATTGTTTTCAAACTCTTCCGATCAAGTTTTATTGCAAACAAATCGTTATTTCAAGTGTTTTGTATTGGACAGTTATTATTAAAAGACAGACGAAAATATCACTTTCGAAATATTGTGTATATTGGTGGTTTGGTTGTCTCGAGTCGTTCGTCCACTAAAATAAACAGATTTTGTCAGCTTTAACTCCATACTGGTTTGTTGCGCATTGAAATATATCATATTGACAAATTATAGAAGGATGGGAAAATCAATATGAACATTTATGACAAAAAGCAATTTATTTACGAAGGTACTCCCACTGTACTCGTACTGATATGTGAGATTCATCCACAGTTTAGCAAGGCCATTCGACTTTGAATGAATGGAGAGAGGAGCAAGGAGATACATAAAACTGCAGCACTATTGTTTACTGACAATATCTTAGTGAAGCTGTTAATGTTGTGAAACGTCGTAGCGTGAAAAACTTTGTGTCTTGATGACATTCAAGCTAACAGCTATATTCAGATTTATGTACATATTTCTTATTATAATTCGCTTGAGTTATCATAAATGTTATTGTAACTGAATTATTTTCTTTCTGTCAACAGTCAACAGTCAACAGTACATGGATGATTGTCTTGTAATCCAACGGACCAAAAATTAAGACACTTCATTTAGTATTATATATAGTTTACTTTGATGTAAATCGATATTACTAACGATTCCAATAAAACATTTTTTCTTCAACTTTAAAATGAAAAAAGTTTTACTTTTGTCTCAAAGTGTTTTTAAGCCTGCAAAATGTTTGTCATGGCATAATTTTTGTGAGTATTGAAAAGTTTGCAGATTCAAAATGGACAGATCGTCCAAATGTGTCCATTTTCTTGTAGTGAGTAAAATTTGTATGATTATATTTTAGTCATTTAGTCATTAAACATTTTAGAAAAGCCAAAGCACTAATGGTTTTGTTTTCGTTACTTTATGTTAGCCTTTGCATTTTCTTTACACTCTAGCGATGACTGCGCTACCACTAGAAAAATAAAATTAGGTACGCGAAGAGGGTAAATGACTAATATTTAATTAACTACATGAGAAATCACTAGAGAAGTCCGACGGTCATTTTTTTATAATGATAACCAAAATATTATAGATTATTTATAAAAAAAAATGATAATTTTGTCTCCAAATACCACAAACTAAAAGTCCGTCTTATCAAGTTTTCGGCTCGTGGTCTATGGTCGACTGACTTAAATGACTGAAACAAGTCGGACGTCTGTTTGAGAGACAGGCTTCAGTCAATGACTCAATAGACCTGCTAAGTAGGCTTGCCACTATAACAAGAGTAGCGACTTCCTCAAGAAATGTCAAAAATTTTAACAAAAAATTATTTTTTTCCCGCTTCAATAGAAAATCTTCCCAACAGAGTTTTATACAATTATATTTCTATTTTCAATCCTACGGGAGGTCTTGAATTTCAGATGATTGATATTCAATATTAATACTAACGTTTAGTATACCTGTATGGTATTTTGACATGTTTATTTCAACTATTGCCAGTAAAATTTTACGAATTTCCTAAATTTTATACTTTCGAATATTTTCCGTAACGCATCATCGTCATGTAGTCGTGTCAATTCGTGAATTGCCGTCCTAGCACCTAGACATTTTTTAGTATAACATTGTGGTTAGCCTGTGAGCAAACTACCCACAAAAAATATTATTAGGCTTGGATTAGTAATAAGATGCAATGCCAGTAACGATTTCTCGGAAAGAGAACGCCAAGAAAATTGATTGAAATAGGCAAAAAACTATACATTTTTAGGCCTTGTTGCGCCCCCTAAGAGGACATTAAATTTGGCCCTGTATATTGTCTACAGTTATTGTGACAATTGACGAGTCAGGTGTTGTGGCCACATAAGAAACATCAAGAATGCTCCTCAATTACTTTATTCCTTAATTGACTGTAAAACGACCCCCCCCCCCTACAAGGTTTCATTTTGATCAGTCTTCCCTTTTCCCCTAAGTTAACTTTATTAACTGTATATTATAACT